TTGTTTTTCCCATTTAAGTAAAACATTCAGCACCTATGCTGCAGGTTCTCAAGTTCTTCCACTTTGTGTTCAAGTTCATTTTCACACAGATTTAATTAAAACAACTTCCTTGACCAAAGTGTTGTACTGTTCTATTAAAAACATGAAATTGATAAATGACTGCTGATGTCCCGTGACGGTTATTACATCCCCACTGTTGCCATGCGTGCACAGAGTCAGTGCTGTGGGTCCGTGCTGCTCCTGCAGGGTTAAACTTGCACCCACATCTCTTGCTGTCATCAACAAGTTGCAAGGCGTAGTTCCTAAAGTAAACCCAGTTCTCTCACTGTCCACTCCTGCAACACAGCGCTGGAAGGAGAGCTTCTCACGGTCACATCTGAACATGTAAAGATCACCTTCTCTGCAGTTGCTCAGGGACTTTGAGGTTTAACATGGCAGCTGAGAGCAGCTGGAGTGTCCAATTATTGATTCTATATTTAAAGGCAGATCCAGATTTATTACCCTGTCCGAATATTTATGAAGCGCCACCCATGAGCAATAAACATTCTAAAGTTCATGCAGGTTAAAAGTTTTCACCCTGGATGTCATAAAAGCAAAACAACTTCTTGATGAGAGCTTTTTCTCCTGTCTATATATATATTTTATTTACCCTTTAAGAACTCTGTCCATTGGAGCATTTAAATTGCTGAGCACCCAAACACCAGTGACACCTAGTTTCCGTTTGTTGCACATGCATAGAAGCATTCATTCGGTCCTAAAGTGTCTGAGGTGGAGACCTGAGGTGAGCGTGGGTGTCACCTGCAGGACTGAAAGTTTCTTTCTCCTCAGGCTGTTTGCACAGCGGTATTTCCAGGATTAAAACGGTGTTGATCGTACTATGTCAGCTAGTTTTTTTTGTGGAAATGTCCTTTTGAGGTTCACACTGGTCTCAGTGTTGATGGTGAGAGTGTGTCTTTGTGTCAGAGGGGGCGTGTTTGGAAGGGCAGTGGCTTTTGCACCGTGTTTACATGTGAGAGAAAAACACACAAGCGTTTCAGTTTTATAGTAAGGGTGAGGAATTAGCTGCAGGTGAAGGATGTCTGATGGTGCACCGTATGTGTGCAGGCGGGCTGCAGCTGCTTCACTTTAAACTAACTCAGCTGTTGATGAGATGTTCTTTTTTAATGTTGGTGTCTTTCTCCCAAACATCACATATATACCATGTTGTTTTTCTCCTTATGGATCTAAGCTACAGATCTGCACATGGCATTAATTTAGTAATAGTTTTCAGATTCTTTACTGGTTTTAATGGATTCTCCTGCCTTTACAGTAAAGCTTTATCCACCAGATGGTTCTTCAGCAACCTCTTAAACTATAATTGCTCTCCAGGGTTGTTCTCGTAGTTTTGGGCAGCTCATACTGCACGAATTAAGAAAAGCCTAAACAACTTCAATTACTTCTTGGACCGTGATCAGTTAAAAAAAAAAAAAAGAACCCCGGCTCCCAGACCAGTTCTGAGAGTACGGGTTCATGTAAAACAGCAGGAAGTCTTGATAGCTCCGTCTTTGTTCGCTTCAGTTTGCAGCCCAGACTTGACATCACCTCCTCGCGATGGTTTCACTGGCTGATTTTACACAATGACCCAGTGTTTGGGGAGATGCTCACTTACAGAGCGAGGGTTGCATCAGAGGACCCTGGCGATTCATTCGAACGGGAATTCAAAGGGTGTGACTTTATTTGTCATCGCATGCTCCCAGAGAGGGTGAATGTGCAGGGAGTGACTGAGTTACTCCAAGTGTGAGCCTTATGCTCAGCCGTGAAGGAACAAGAATGTACCTGACCAAAGTCTACATGGAACTTGAAAAAAAAACAAGTTGTGTTCTGTAAATGAAATGAAAATTCCTGCACTGGGATCTTCACCAAATTATATATTTTCCTTCAACATGGTAAATATGTAAAGTCAAAATGTAACTTTTTACCCAAACACAACGTTGGAATCGCAATTAAATAAACTCTGATCTCATACGAGAGAGCGACATGATGTTTGAAAAAGAATATCCACTGTTTTTAAGTCATGCCATGTTTGTGTTCTCTTCACTGAAGCTCTGGACATCGATCACCTGAACCTGGAGTGTGACTTCAACAACTGTGACCATCGCACTGATCTCAACGGGGTGGACCGGCTCATCGTGAGGCGAGGCCAGACGTTCACCATCAGCTTATATCTTCGATCTGGGAGCTTCCAGCTGGGCGTCAGCTCACTTGACTGCATAGCAGAAACAGGTGCTAGCTCCTTTGACTAATTTCTTTATTGGACAAAAACAACTTCCTTCTAGTGAAAGTTCTTCTTGTACTGTACCGTGGTCACTGAAACAACATTTTTGCGTTGAAGCTTTGTCAGACCGTTAACAGAAAAGCACGGAGCTTGTTTCCTGTTGTGCAGGAAGTCAGAGTACACTTTTCCACCTCTTGCTGAGTGTTTGTTGACATTACCTCTGTTGTTATCGATTCGAAAGTGGAAAGGGAAAGGGAGCAGCAGCGTTAATGGAAAAAAATGAAGGCTTTCATATTGTAGCTAAAAGATGGGCTCTGTTTTCCATTGTTAACTCAAGCGTGTACAAAAGAAATGCTCTGTTATTGCTGGAAGCCTCAAATGCTCAAATGTCCAGAATACAAAAACTGAAACCCATTTGATTCTTTTCCGTTTTCACTGGAAGAAACCCGTATGAAGACTTTTATCAGACACTCGCACGACGTCGGATGCAACAGGAAGCGTTGCTCGCCAGGAGGGAAGCGTGTGCAGAACTGTAGATAACACTATCAAGTTGTACACAAATGCATATTTTAAACGATTGTTGCCAGTAAAGATGAGGTGGTCCAAATATTTGTACCTGCTTTAGTTGATTTATCTGGGTGGAAAAGGCCAAGTACTCATGCACAAATATATAAAAGTTTGAAACAAACTGAGAAAGAGCTGTGAAAACACAGAGTTACACTTGTTCAGCTCAAACTCTCTTTCGCTCTCGACGAAGACGGTCGCTTTCACCCGCTCCTCCCTCCCTCCTGCTTTTCTGCTCTCTTGTCCTGTGAACCTCCTCAGAGCTTCTCTTTACACATCTTCTGATTCTAAATTTATTATGGATCTGGTCAGCTGGTCTCTCAACGCAATTGATAAAATTTTTTTTTTACCAGAAGTCAGGGTCCAGGAGAACCCTCATGCCCTGAAGGGACACACGCAGCTGGATATGTCATGGATTCCTGGGGTGTTTGGAAGATGATGTGCCTGACTGTTGAGGGCGTAGAAGATGCATACATAATTGGATTTATGATAGCAGGATTTCTGCTTTTTGGAATTGGCGGATACCTGGGTTATTGGCTATAAAGGAAGACGTCGGCAGCAGTTTGACACTAGTAACGCTACCTGCTTTATATGAAAGGTTACTCCGTGCTTCGAACTCTCAGACTAATTAAGTTGGACACGATTTCTGAGAATCGTGGGCCACTTGCAGCTCCTAGGATTTGCCGGCATGAAGGATTCCACCTTGGAGAAAGCTAACAAGCACAGCAATGTCCACAGATCTGGCTGTTTGGATTCACCATTGAGTTTACCAGCAGAAATGAAGGCAGACGTGTCAGTAGAGTCTGTCTGTCCAAAACAATTGTTGTTTATCTAAAGTTGGACTCCTCCCTTGGATAGGCCAACTTATCTCAAATTGCTCCTGAAGGATACGTAAACTAAGAAGCTCTGCCCTCCCCCCCCCCACCACCACCTTCCTGAAGACATCTGTGTCCTTATCAGAATTGTGCCGCTGATAGACACTGTAACATCTTATCAGAACTTTAGAACTTTCTGGCGTGTCCATGGACAACTCACCGCCTTTGTTGACCTTCAATGCATAAATGTATTATGATGTCATTGTATGTTGCTGTTTATGTTGCAAGGTCTTTTTTGCATCTGTTACATTGTGCCCCGGCCACATGGTGTGAGACATGATTTTTTTTTACTTCTTCCATCCTCATGTTCTCTTTTCCTCATCTACTCTGTATGTTGTATGTAACAGGTCTCTTATGTACCTGAGGCTCAATGGGAACTAACCTGTATATATATAAAGGTTTAATAAAAACAAAAGCTTTTATGAAGTCACTTCTTCCTTTCAAACACTTTCTCTGTTTCATACAGGTCCTCAGCCCTCTGAGCAGTATGGCACCAGGGCCCGCTTCGGTCTGTCTTCTACCATTGACACGTCCTGCTGGAGCGCCGCCGTAATCAGTCCCGCCGGGGACATGGTAGCCCTGTCCATCTGCTCTGCTCCCAATGCTCCCATTGGCCGCTACACACTCACCCTGGGGCAGTCGGCAAGCATTGAGTTCATTCTGCTCTTTAACCCCTGGTGTCCAGGTGGGCAAACACGCAGTGTGAAGCTGCCTCATAAGATCTACTCAGGAACAGTAATGAACAAATCAAACATGAAAATTGCCATAAACTTAATTATTGTGTGACCTCAAGCAATGCTTCAGCATTTCAGGAATTTGTTTCAAAGAAACGAACACCACTACATCATCAGTCACGTTCGGGTTAGAACATGCATGAGGACATTATTTGTATTGTGCCTTGGCAACAGGGGATGCAGTATACATGGACAATGAGCAGAGTTTGGCAGAGTACGTCTTGTCTCAGGATGGAATCATATTTCGGGGCAACTACAAACGCCCCATTCCCACTCCCTGGAATTTTGGCCAGGTACCAACACCAACACTGACACTGTCAGCCCCTCTACATCATACACACAGTCTGTCAGATAAGCCAGCACTGTGTCAGAGAGGTGAAGGAGTTTAAATCGCTCTCTTACCGATAAGAGAGAAACAATAAGCACCAATAAATTTATGATGTTATATATTGCATATACCTTAACATGATGGTACACTTTGGTACTGCAGGTGTCAAGCCTTAATTTTACACCTAATAGTGTGAATGTTTATGAAGCATTCACACTATTGTGATCCATTTGTCTTCCGTACGGTTCTAGGCATCTACTGTAACTCGTTCCACAATTTTTGTGCTATTTCAACAAATCATAAAACAAAATGTTCAGCTCATTCAGGAGAACGGTGCTATGATATTTAGTATTGGTGCAACTTTAACTTTTTGAAATATTTAGCCTCTTCTGCCATTTTTTTTTCTCATAGAAAATGAACTGAGCTCATTTTACATCCTTCACGTCTTTAGATCTGTTTACAACCTGTTACTGCTCCTTTCACATTTTGTTACGGTTCAGCTTCTTTCAGCTTCCTTGTGCTAATAAAAAAAATTCAGCTACTTTCAGCTAATTTCAGCTGTTGTGTGCTCCTTTCAGATCCTTTCTTCTAACTACAACATTTTTGTGCTTATTCTAACTTCTTTCTGCTAATTTCAGCTTGTTATGCGCCCTTCAGCTTATTTTTGTAGTTTTCAGCCTTTTTTGCCATTTCAGCTACTATTTAGCTGCTTTCATGCTAATTTTAGCTTTTTCAGCTAATTCCACATTTTTTGCACCAATTTAAATGTTTTTTTTTAGCCTAATTCAGCAAAATTGTGCTCTCTGCTTCCTTCTGGTAATGTAAGCTTTTTTCAGCTTTTTTAGCTACTGTTCAACTGGGTGGTTTTTGTGTGTGCAAATTTCAGCTTTTTCAGATAATTTCCACTTTTTGTGCTTATTTCTGCTTCTTTAAGCCTAATTGGGCACACCTCTGCTCTCTCCACTTCCTTCTGTCTAACTAAGCTTCTTTCTGCTGTTTAGCTACTTTTCAGCTGTTTTATGGTAACCTGCTTTTTTCAGATAATTTCCACTTTTTGTGCTTATTTCTGCTTCTTTCCGCCTAATTGGGCAAATGTGTTATTTCTGCTTTCCTATGCTTATTTAACATTGTTCTACCTTTTCAGCTACTTTTTAAAACTAATTTGTAGCTAATTTAAGCTGTTTTCAGATCAATTCAAGATTTTTGTGGTAATTTCTGCTACTTTCAGCCCAGTTAACTTTGTTCTGATCATTTCAGCTTGTTATACTCCTTTAAGCTTTTTCCTCTAGTTTCAGCTTTTTCTGCTATTTCAGTTACTATTTAACTTTTTCACCTAATTCCACAAATTTTTTTTGCTAATTTTAGCTACTTCCACTTCCTTCTTCTTTCTGTGTTTTCAGCAAATTTTCAGCTATTTTCTACTAACTTTAGCTTTTTTTAGTTAAGTTCCTATTTTTATGCTCATTTCTGCTTATTTAAACCCAATTCAGGAAATATGTGTTCTTTCTGCTTTATTCCGCTAACTTATGCTTGTTCTTGTACTTCAGCTACAATTAAACATTTGTTTTTAGCTAATTTCAGCTCTTTTTCCACTATTTTTTCTACAATAAGCATTCATACTGCATTTCTGCAGGAAATGCAATTTCTCTAGTTGTATTTTACTCTTCACATCATAATTCTATAAAGGTTTTTTTTTTTCTATGTGTTTCTCTTAAACTGTTTCTTCACAGCTTTTATTGTTTTTGCTGACAGATCAATAAAGACTAAACTTCCTTTGCTTGATGTTGATACAGTTTGAAAGTGGAATCCTGGATATTTGTCTGAGAATTCTGGATACAAACCCCAAATGTCTGCGTAATCCTGGCAAAGACTGCTCGGGGAGAAGAAATCCCATCTACGTGTCCCGGGTGCTGAGTGCCATGGTACAGCCTACTCATTTTAATTTGTTCACACGTCATCATTTCTTGGTTTTTATATTTAAATATGTTTCTTTTATCAATAACCTTTCACTTTGCATGTGAAAACTGTCTGGCAGGTGAACTGTAATGACGACAAAGGGGTGTTGCTGGGAAAATGGCAAGGCAGTTATGATGGAGGAGTGAGTCCGTTGTTTTGGCGGGGCAGTGTTGAAATTCTGCGTAACTGGGACAGAGAAGCGTGTCAGCCTGTTCGCTATGGACAGTGCTGGGTGTTTGCTGCAGTGGCCTGCTCAGGTAAGATAGGATAGGTTCAATTTGATGGCCTGTTTAGAGGAAACACATTTTATTTATGTCTAACATACACAATATACAGGATCACGTGTAAAAATACAGTTTTATATGACAGTCTGACCCTCAATGAGTATCACGATGATGTTATTATTGATGCCATCAGTTTCCAGAGCCCTGGGCATCCCCTGTCGAGTCATAACCAACTACCTGTCTGCACACGACACTAACAGCAACCTGGTGATTGAGCGCTACGTCAATGAAAACGGGGAACTCATTCAGTCCAAAGAAATGATCTGGTTTGAACTCCTTTTAACTCTGGTTTTTATAACTGCTCACAGATAAAGTGAGTAGAAGTGGTTTCTTTGCAGCAGAATGTCCTTCATACATTGAAAGTTATGGTGCGTTCATGTCTGCAGGAATTATCACTGCTGGGTGGAGAGCTGGATGACAAGGCCTGATCTCAAACCTGAGTTTAACGGCTGGCAGGCCAGTGACCCCACGCCCCAGGAGAAGAGTGAAGGTGACAAATACTATCATTTAAATATATTTCTTCTTCTTCTTGGTTTGGTTCTGATGTTTTCCACGTATCCCAGGTGTTTACTGCTGCGGACCCGTTCCCCTCAAGGCCATCAAGGAAGGCGAGCTCACCTTCAACTACGACGCCCCGTTTGTGTTTGCTGAAGTCAATGCCGACGTTGTCACTTTCATGAAGAAAAAAGACGGCAGCACTTCAAACGTCACTACATCGACTGTGGTGGGTCAGAAGATCAGCACCAAGAGCGTCGGCAGTGACGCCAAAGAAGACATCACTCATCTCTACAAGTACCCTGAAGGTAGCAAACTCCGCTGTATGTTGTGTTGCAAACTGCACATCTTTTGTCATTGCTGTGGTTTTATGCGTCGGGTCATAAAAAAAGTTATCAGATCCAGCTTTTAAGTTGAAGTCAATAAAACAAATGTTATGTTAAGAAAACGGCAACAAGTTAAACAGTCATTCCAAAGTGCAGAGGTCTGATATGTTGCATTCTTTCACATCAACTTGTTGTCCCTTTTGTCAAACAGTTATTCCTCTGAAGAACGGCAAAAAAAAAAAAAACTGGTCCTCGTTTAACCTTCACCTGCCTTGTTGAAGACTTTTGGCCTTTTCTATGAAAGATGTCTCGGCTGATAAGAAACTTGATAACTACTAGACAGATCACTTCTGAAGTGACCAGTCTGTCCTTTTCAAGTTTTATGACAACTATAAAAGCAGAGGCAGCTTTCTGGTGTGAAGGATTCAGGTGTGTGTTAACTCTGTGACAGAGGAAAGACATGAGCCGTCAGACAAGCAGCTGCTGCCGTCTGTAAATCTGAGAAGAGCTATTTGACCATTTCCAAAGAATCTGTAATCTATCACTCTACAGTGAGGAAACATTAAACACAGCTGTCAATCTTCTCAACGTTTGACATCCTTAGCAGGATAAATGCTAAACTAGACGAAATTAGAAAAAGTATCTTGTAAAACTTCTTTTTTTGTTAAGCAGCATTATAACAAACCATCCTGAACGACGTCATTCGGACAGATATAAACAGTGTGTGGCCTTACTGCACAGCACCATATTAGCTGAAGCCAAACACAAGACGTTAGTACAAACGCCTCATACCAAGTGTCAAGATCAAGGGAGGAGGATTTATAGTTTGAGCCTGTTTCTCTTCTCAGGACCTGCTGTTGCTAATATGACCATGAACTCCTCTGAACATTAAACTCTTCCAGGGTCTAATGTGTCAGACAGCTGGAACTCAATAAATCTACAACAGAACAGCAAGACAATTGTTGCCCTTCACGTAAAGTTTTACCAGCTTGTCACGTCAAGTGGTTTTTAGGAACACGTTTATTGCGTGGTGCGTTCACGTTCCCAGGTTCGGCTGAAGAGCGGGAGGCTTTCAAAAAGGCCAACCACCAAAACAAGCTGCTGCAGGAGACTCCAGATCCAGGCCTCCACCTCAGCATCAAAGTGACGTCAGACATGAAGAAGGGCTGCGACTTCGATGTGTTTGCTGTTGTGGCTAACGGCACAGACCGTGAGAAGAAGTGCCGCCTGGTGTTTGGCTCCTGCGTTGTGTCCTACAGCGGGGTTATGGGAGGGAACTGTGGCTTCAAAGACCTGCTCAATGTGACGCTCTCTCCTGGAGCAGGTGAGCCGTGTCACCACGTACGTCGCCGACGTGCCGCCAGCTATTTTTAAACCAAAACACTCTGAATGTTTCTTCTTTTAGAGAAGCGAGTTGCACTTAGGCTGAATTACTCCAAATATGGTGGCCAGCTCACAGAGGACAACTTAATCCGTCTGGCTGCTCTGCTGCTGGACTACTCCACTGGAGAGGCCACACTGGCTGTGAGGAACATTGTTCTGGACAATCCTGACATCAAAGTTAGAGTGAGTACCAAACAGACAGGCTGATGGTGCAGAAAGCAAAAGGAGAACACTGTTATCTACTGTTATCAGCAGAGAACAGGGTGGAAGCAGCAGCTGCAAATAATGTTTTTATAGTCGTCGCAGGCTTCCATTGTGTCCTGACTTTTACCAAGGATTGAAGCACAAAAATGAGAGAAAGGGTTGTTGGCCCTCATATTTAAAGTGTCCTATCATAGGCCTTGAACAGTCTTCTGTACATCTTTATGGGTTTTTATATTAATGCTTAATCTGCCCTTAAAAGAACCACCTTTGACCCACTTCTTGAGTCACTATCAATAATCTCATAGACACTATAAAAATGCAATATGATATAAAATGCAGTTGTAAAAATGTGATGCAATAAAGCTTTATGTGTTATAGATTACATCATTTGTTTGTTTTCCAGGAAACAACAAGCTGTGCATTAACAGTAGAACATTTGAAGCAGACAAGCTCTAATATAAAGAGGACCACAACTGTTTAATGTTGGGAGTCTGACTAGACTGGGAGGATACAGGCAGACGTGATCATTATCTTGAAGTCCAGGAGATAACTGTTCAAATGACAGAAGCAAACTTACTGAGCACGGCCATTCGGACTGGACTTCAAACAGTTGAATAGTTACAAACTTTGTGCTTCCATACTGCAGAAGTGGAGTAAATGCTGATGAGTTTCATTATAAAGAGTGCCGTGCTTTGAGACACACAAGCAACATGGAAGAAACCGGATCAAAAGAGATTAAAATAATGAAATTGTTTGAACTTATTGAGCAAAGCATGGAGTTCTAATCAGTCCTTCTCAGACCTCAGTCTCCAGTTACACTTTCACAGAGCGTGTCCATTCACTTTAACATTTATTTATGTTATCTTCAGTGACTTTTGCAGTTTTTAAAGCATTTTGAGGCCAACTAAAGTGCTGAAAGCTCAGTATTAGTTATAGATTACTCTTCGAATGTATTTATGTTGTGTTACTGTGAAGCTATAAGACGATGTGCACACAGGTGCAGATTTCTTCATGTACCTGCACAGTGTGTCTTTATTTACTTCAGAGTGGCTGTGCTCCACAGATCCTGGGTGAACCCAAGGAGAATCGGAAGCTGGCTGCAGAAATTACCGTCCAGAACCCTCTACCAGAACCACTGGAGAACTGCTGCTTCAGCATCGAGGGGGCAAACCTCACTGGGGGTTGCGTCATCTCTGAGAGGTTGTATGATTATGTCTGAGTCCAACTTAGCAGCGAGTCATCCGAGTAGGAAGGAAGAAAATTCAACCCATGGCTCGTTTAAACAAGTATTATTTCCCGTTTTGACATTCGAACTTTGAGAGATGTTTTGTTGTTGCACGATTGATCGGTGGCTGCACTCTTCATCATTCATGCATCCGGATTGAATGCATCAGTCAGGACTGATGCACAGAGACTTAGATAGAACAAAAAAAAAAAAAAGGCCTTTCAAATGTAACTCCTTCAACTTTTAGTGGATCATGTGAGTTAGGCAAAGATTTATTGTCCATTTTATTTAAAAAAAAGTCAGACAAAATGTTTGTGTGTGTTCAGTCATGTGACCTGTTCCTGCACCCTCTGCATCGTTTCCATAAAGTGTTACAAGTATTAGTTCTTTGTTTGGGGTAATTTATCTTCCAGAGGTGGAACCATAATAAATCCTTTCACAACTTTAATACTTAAATATTTACCTTGCAGGCTGGGCTGTACAGTGGGGCCTGGAGAAGAAGCCAAAGTTAAGATCTACTTCACTCCCACTCATGCCGGGCTGAGGAAGCTGGTCGTGGACTTCGATAGTAACAAGCTGAGTCACGTCAAGGGTTACAGAAATGTCATAATTGGGAAATAAAACCAGTGACGTTTCATTAGGTTGGAAACTTTTACTCTTTATCAGTGCCTTAAAGCAATTTAAGCACGAGGAATGCTCTTTTTACTCAATTAGCTTCTCATCCTCCCATCTAATTGTTTATATTGACAATTTTTATGTCGTTTGTTGTAGAGCCATAAAAAATAATGTGACTAAGAGGGTTTTATGCTCATTAGGCCTAAAACAGCTCATGAAATATCTGAAAAACAATAAATACACTTTTGTCTAACAGCTTGATGTGCTCAATAATATTTGTAGTGAGTAGTAGCAGCATTTACTGTAAGTTCTGTACTTTTCATACATGTGCTACTATAAAAGGATTGTTTGCAACAAGTGGTGTGGTTTTTTTTTTCTCGATAAAAAAGAAGCGTGAATGCAAAGTGTAGACTGGTGCAGAGATGGAAGTAGCATCTGGTGTAAGGCTGCATCTCCTGTTCACATTTGGCAAGCATTAAAAACTGTATTTCTGCAGCTGATCATAAATAGTCATTAACAGTTGACATAACTCAGATGTCTAACCCTGCAAATGTTGTCTGCAGGAGGTGAAGGAGCACCTCAAGTCACTGTAAATATGCTGATCTAGGTTTCTCCAAGTCCCACCTAACATATGGAAACAATAGACTCCATGTATTCAGATTGATTTCCAACCCACAGTCTCTGCACCTGAGGTACGCATCACTTCATGCATCGTTACAGCAACGTATTCTTTACACAAGAGCTTGAAGGGACAGTTCAGATCTATTCTGGTGAGGTTCCGTGAGATGTTCTGAACAATCAATATCCTACCTGTTCAGGTAAATATTTTAATTCTGACTGGATCAATGAGACAAACTGATCTCAATTGGACTGTTGCCGTCATTCAACTCTAACCTTAACATTTCCGTAGTGGTTCGTGCCAGTACTGATCAATAACCATTACACTGCAGTTTGACATGACATGGTTATTTGACAGGAATAATAAAGTATTCCTGCAGGAAGTGCCTCATGCTGCACGGGAAGAGCTTCGTCTAGCCGCTCCCATACTTGTAAATAATCAAATTCTTCCATGTAAATAATTATGCATTTCAAAATTAATAAGATTTATAAACTAGCTTTTTCATAGCCCGTTATCAGGTTTTGATGTACTGGAATGCAAGAGTGAGTGAGCTGCAGGGATTTCTGGGAAAACTTAGGACAGAAATGGGTGGACCTTTTCAGGTTATGTGGTCTGATGGGTTGTCCCTGCTGGTTTCCTGTTTAGTCGTGGGATGGCATTTATCTTCAAGTTGTTAGTGGCTGTAAAACATGACTCCCATCAGTCAGCTGTCCCTGGTGAATAAAAGAAGCCCTGCTTGTGAGTGAGTTGACATTAAAGTCATAATAATTCATTCAAACATAAAGCCTAGCTTTTCTGGGCACAGTTCATCACTGACAATAAGTCAGATAATTGTCCACAGGACTTAAAGGTCTTAACTATTACTTTAATATAATATAATGCATGTATTATCTTTGTATGTTCCCATAACGAACTGTGACACACAAATCTCTCACCACGCCTATACTTACAAAACAAGAACCAAATCCAAGATACATAATGTTCAAATCATTTGAAATCTCTGCTAAGTAACTGCACACGTTTTTTCATGTTTGTGTCATTTTTAATAATTTCCTAAGAGAAGCAGCATCAGCAGTCTTTTGCTGCCCCAGAACCTGCAGACTTTAAACTTTTGGTGTGTTCAGTCCAGTTTTACTCATCAATGGCAATAAGAATATCTTTTCAGCTTTCTGCATGTTTGACACGTAAAGATAATTAAAAAAAAAACGTTCTGAAAATGTATTTAAAAAAATTGTTTTACTGTGTCCTGTGGTGTTTTTGCCTCAGTTGTAAGTGTATAAATATGTGTATGCTGCCCCCTGCTGGATAAAAAGAGGAACTAATCAGTGCTGAAGAGGTGCGGAAGCTTCTGCAGAGCTGCACAGCAGCAACACTCAAGCTTTCATGTTAATATAACTCAAACTGTTTTTTAATATACAGAAAGATTCATTAGTATATTTTCTGAGTGTTTAAAGAAAGACAAAACCAAAAAAATGTTCCATTCCTTTTAACAAAAATCCACTAATTGTTTGGTATTTCCAACAGATAGATGCAAATATACACAATTAAAACCTAATATGATAAAATCTTCAAAAATCTCCATCTTCTACCGTTCATCTGTAGTGGGGTCACAGAGGCAACGGCCCCATGAGAGAAACGCAGACGTCCCTCTCTTCAGTGACTTTCCAGCTTGTCCTGGGGGACCCTGAGGTGTTCCCAGCCAGAGAAGATACACAAACCTTCCAGCAACTTCTGAGTCTTCCCCCGGGTCTCCTACCAGTGTCTCTAAAAGGTTACATTTATCGTTTGATCCACAGTAATAGAGTAACAAGTAGCAGAATAAATAAATTAATTTAAACTATGTTTTCTTACAATCAAGTCTAAAAAAAAACGTCACGAGCACTGAGAACAAACAGTAAATAAAACGGCAACAAGTGCGACTCTTCGTAAAAACGGAGACAAATGTTGATACTGAGAACGATGACAAAGCACTGGCATGACTACCACAGTAAACTGGTTGTTTCATTTGGTTAAGATGCACTTCGGACTGTAGGAGTCAATGCACATTAAAAGTCCACAAATAAAGATGACGGAAGAATTTTCTTACTGTCTTTAAGAGACAAAATTGTAAATTTGCCTTGTGGTGGTTTAGAAAGCTAAATGCTGACAGTTTTCACTCAGAAGCAAATTAAGCTATTTCTAATGAACAGAATTGAACATAAAGCCTCATTTATTCTCCCGATCTTTTCAAATGTTTAAACTGTTCAGCTGCTGTTGTGTGGTTTAGTTAAAGATGACAGAAACTGGACAGAGGGATCTTTCGTGCACCTGTCCACAAACAGCACTCAACAACACGAGTGGCAGCTTTAAGCACAAACGTCTCATAACAGCATGAGGTAATAAAGAAAGAGATGACAGTCCATGCAGACGGGCTGAAGCCCACAGCTCCTCTTACAGCCGGTGCTGGTGCCAGCTGACCTCCTCACCTCCCTGCTCCCCGTCTGCAGGGAGGGAGTAAGGCTGTTCTGCTTCCTGCAGCTGGACTCTGTCTGACTCCTTGCTCCTCTCAGGCTCTACTTTGAGGTACGCCTGCACACGGTACTGCTGCGCCACAGGACCGCTGTGATCGATAACATGACACTCGTAGGTGCCCTCGTCTGCCGGTTTGACGCTGGAGAGGCGAAGTTTGTGGGAAATGTTGCTGCCGGCCACTTTGACCACCTAGGGAGGAACCAGGCAGCATATTTTAAACCAGAACCTATTAGAAATACTAGATGAAACACTTGAAGTCTTTGGAAACATCTAACTTTATGGGACAAAGAAACTCTGCCCTGATTCAACTCTATAAAGTTTTATGTATCGGCACATTAAACAATGGATCTGGTCTTTACCAGGTTATAAAAAACAGTCAAATCTAACCTGAAGTGGACAAAAACTAACTACAGATTCCACCTTGGCATTTTTTGTTCAACAGAAACAAATCCAAACTGGACAAGCTAGCTGCATTTTAATCTTTAACCTGCTGGTTGAGGCCTGCAGAGTCGGAGATTGCTCCCCCAGGTTTTTCGACATCTTTGAGCATTGCACTGTCTGACCTTTGGGGTGAATTTTCTGTAATACTACCTCCTGGTAAGATTAGCAGCTGTCACATGTTTTCCACTCCAGAACTGAACAGAACTGGAACTCTTTCCAGTTCGATAAGTAACAAGCGCCTCTAAAGTCATAGCTGATGTCCTTCCACCTTGTCATTGTGCTATCACACACCTTTTTTGCTTCAGACCAGCCATGCTAAAACCCCTGCTTACACAGAGGCGGTCTCATCAATGACGATCACTCAATGCATTTGACCTGCAGCACCAGGCTGTGACTTTCCCTCTTCATTCCTATGGGAAAAGCCCAAGTGGCGTTAGTTTTCCACACTCATGTTTTCCTTATGACTTTTCTCATGTTTACCAATTCATAATGATATACTGAAAGTTGTTGATTTGTAAACTTGAAGTTAGAAATAAATCATTTTACAACCTGGTAAAGACCAGGTCTTTTTTTTTCATTACACCCGGACACATAAAACCCTTTAAAGAGGACCGATTTCCTTCTTGATAATAATAATAATAATAATCAAAATGTTAATAATTATTCGTTCATGCATATAAGTCATAATTTGCGTTAGCCACAGAAACGCTCCTTACACTTATTTTCGTTGCATCTTTGGGCTTCTCCTCCTGGGTCTGAACCTGCACAGAAACAGGGATGAAGGATGAGCTGCACATCTCGGAAACGATCATATCTACAAGCAGTCTCTCGCTGCGGCAGCAAAAACAAACAAGTTGGACGTTTCCAGAACCTTTTCACCAGGACGTTCTTCTTCTTCTTGTTCAGACATGCTTGCACCAACATCCACTCCACACCACCAAGCCTCTGAGCAGGACTGTGTGTGTACGCGGGTGGGGGCTGGTGGGGTGATTATGTATGCAGAAGCACAGGGGTATTCTTTTGGGCATTGGTATGAATTATGCATGGAGCGGAGAGAGATTTTGAAAATCTATTTCTTTCTCAGTGCCAATTATAGTGTCTGGAGGTACACCAGGGGAGTCTGAGCCTCCCCCATGATGGGATGGAGTCAACCTGCTCCCCTACTGCTGGCAAATGCTAATCAGCAATTATACCTTCGTTTTCATGCCACAAGGCTCCTGCCACGACTTATATTGCGTTTCTTTTTACTGATGTGAACTTTAGGCTCAGCCCACACGGTTCCCACAAGTGTTGGAAACAGTTGGGATGGTGAAAACTTGAGAAAAGGAACGACGACTCTCAAAACCAGACAGGTGCTCTGGGAGTCTTCACGCAGATCCAAAGGAGTGCCACATCAAATATTTCTCTTGGACAACATCATCGCTTTCGCAGAACTCCACGTCTTACCTTTCTGCCTAAAGAAGCTGCGTTGGCTTACATTGTTAGGGACGTGTGCAGGCGACTCCTGCGTGTTTCTGTGGTTCTTCAGGTACCACCACTGGATCTCCAGGGAGTAGGAAGTAAAAGCTGCTCCTCGGAAAGAGCAGGCCATCTCCACGTCCTCACCGCTGTGCGTTGTAACGTCACGTGGGACCTCGGTGAAGAGAGCTGAGAAATTACACAAATAAAATAAAGCTGAACATTCATGCTTTCACTGCGGCAGGAAACGATCAGAACTTTGGACACAAACTTGTATTTGAGGAAAAAAATAAAGTTTTCTATTCATCGTCACAAATATAACAGTATGATAAAACTTATAGGGTTGTGCTCGTCGAGAACAATCTGCTGATTTTTATATTTATATGTGACTGAATCTGAGTGTTACTGTAATGTACTGTATTGGCTTGAAGTAGACTATGTCATTGTAAATGATCAGATTGAGTAAAATAATTAGGATTTTGTTTGGTTTTGAAATGACTTCTGTTGTGAACTGAACTAAACAGAAGAACAATTTGTACTTCGCTTTCAGTTTATTCATTTCCCAAAACAAATAAACCACAACCAAAATAGCCCAAACTATTCTTTTTTTATTTTTATACTTTATTCATATTTTAAAAGATCTCTTTTCCTGCTCTCTGGCCCATTTTACAAAATGAACTATCTCGGCTGATTTAAGGTCAAAACAAAGTAATCAAACAAAACAAATGTTTGTGAAATATAAAACCAATTCTACAGTAAATATTAAAGTACCACTCAATCCAACAATCTTCTTCCATAAAAATATACTGAGCAAACAAAAATTACACAAATCCTTAGATCTGTTAGGACTTTTTACGTCCTTGTTGTTTAGTGAAGAGGTGATGCTGAGGATGAGCAGGAGGCTGAAAGCAGACGAGTGTAGCAAAGTGGAGTCGCAGAAGTGACCGGGTCCTCGTGAGTCATGCTCTCAGTGCACCGCTGCTTTTAGCCTTGTTCTTCAGGAAGTGACATAATGTGGGGGTGAAAGCTTTCAGGGCCAGGAAGTGTGGAGAAAGAAGGAGACAGACGAGGGCAGAGGTGAGCCGAGGACAGTAAGAAGAGAACAACGAGCTGAGAATGATGGATGAAAAGGAGTCAGAGGAGCTGACGCATGAAAGACACAGCATCTTTAGGAAGATGTGAATAAATGAATGACATGGAGGTTCAGATTAAATTCATGAAAGCTTACCTTACTGTGAAAAATGTTTTATAGGAATTAAACACCTCAGGTCAAAGATCATTTGTCAGCACTGTTAACGTCATAAAGCACAGATTGTAATGACTCGCAGAAAGTAATCAATGAATGTTCAACTACAACTAACTTTTGGAGTTAACCCAATTCAAGATGGCCACCACAGCTAATTTACCCTGACAAACAATGGAAACTAGTCATTTTTTACGGATAGTAAACTAGAATGTGGTGATTGTTGCTGAGAGTCATCCCCAGTTTGTTCCTGCACATCTTTTTTTTTAAACTTTGACAAGAAATGGAATGCTTCTTTAATTTTCTTCTATTTTTATCACGTATGGGGTAAAATCTTTTGCCATAAGAAAAGACGAGAAGCATCGTTCGGTTTCGAGGATGCAGTTTCTCCACTTGCACCATGTTGCAAAGCTAAAATTAAACTCCCGCTGTGTTCGTGCAGCTTCAGTGTTTTCTTTGATGAAAATGACACTTGAGCCGGCAGATTAAATGTGTGTCGACACTCAACAAGCTTTTGACAAATCCGAGACACGCCGTGCATGATGCGTTTTTCCTTGTATTATTTTTCAGCCGGGAGACGAAGCTTTTTAAATAAAGGTGCACGGCAGCAAATATCGGTGGTTTTTTTTACATTTGAAGCTTTGTTTTATTATTCCTGATTATGTAACATGGTGAAGTGTTGAACTCTGCTCGCTCATGCAAATGCACTCGAGACAGAAAATCCATTAAACTCACGTCAGTTTCGTTCCGTCTACCTCCATCTAACAATACGAACACATTTTAAGATGAGAGCAGATAAACAGCTTCTTCTGCGTATAGAAAAGCGTTTGTCTTACTGTGAGAACGAGTGGATTTATTTATCCAACCAAGTCTGATACAATATGAAATATACTAAAACAAAGATGCAATGAAAGAGACAACTCTAACAAAGTCAGGTCAGGTTCTCTGGACGGAGTAAAAAAAAAAAAAAAAAAAGTTTTTGTCTTTTATTCAAAATACTCTGTTTGAGGAGCTGCATTAAACTCAGTCTTATAAACAGTACCTCATCACAGTGGAGGCCTTCATGTTCAATTGTCCTCCTCTTACAGTGCTGTGAGCTAGCATCACTCAGCCCCTGTGAATAACAAGCGGCCATCAGAGTATTAACAATCAGTCGTTAGGCTGATGGTCCTCCTTGATCATGTGAACTGGTTTTGTTTTTCTCCAGCAAACTGGTTGATCCACTTTGAGAAGGGGCTATTTAAAAGACTGAGTTTAGTGCAGCTCTTCAGACTGACAAAGTCTTTTGGATAAAATACAAAACTTTTTTTTTAATCCATCCAGAGGACCTGATTTGTTAGATTTTCCAACCTGGATTATTGAGCATGCATCAGAATATAAAAGGAGACAGCTGTTAGCAAAATATGTTTTATCCAAGGTTGAATTAAAAATTGCATAAACTAGACAGAAACAAGCTCTTCTTCTTAAGATAATGATGATACAATGTAACATTCAATAAAACTAATCAGCTTGAGGGTATGCAGTGCTACAGCAGCTATGTGGAGGCTCTTCTGTACAAAGAGAACTGTTCTGACCCTCTCCAGGAGACTGATTCCCTAACGCAGCCCGGAGTCAAGGTGATTCTGACTTTATCTACTTTGTATCTCCTGATGCCTCCTGGAAAACTCAAGCTCCTTCCACCCACAGAGTCCAGAGCTGTTGACAGATTTTTAGTCTCGTTTTCCTCTCAACCAAAAGGGACTTTAATGTTGCAACATTTAAAAAAAAATTCCCATCATTTTGTTTGAATGCCTTTCTCACCAGCTCATTAATCTGAAAAACTTGCTTTACCCAGTCTTTTGAACAATTAGAAGCTCATTTATCTTGTTTTTCCACACAGCCCTCCCTTTTCCTTTGCCTCTTTCACTGAATGGACGTCTGCGTTGGGAGTTCTCAGGTGCAGTATTAAAAAAAAACTCTTCCAACTTCCTCTGAAATGTTAATTTCATCTTCTGGATTCTTGCCCGTTGATGTTCATTCAACACGATCACTTTCTGTGTATCACTTTACGTCAGAGAGATTTATTAGTCATACGCACCCCACGTGGTACATGAGGTGGGACGAAACTATGAACACAGGATCCCAGTTACAACCAACAAAAACACAAATTGCAAAGAAAAACATTAATAAAATCCGAGTCATGAACTAAGAATGCACTAAGCACTAATGGTACAAAAAAAATGTGCCAGAACAACAGCGGCATGAACATGAGTCTGTGTGAGCAGACGAATGAACACAGCATGAAATAATCAGCAGCAAGAGATCAGCATCATGGATAGTCAGCAGCACATATCAATAACCAAGTGACATCACAGTGATTTTTCTTGATTAGAGATTCATGAGTCTAACAGCCTCAGGGTAGAAGCTGTTCCTCAGCATGGTGGTTCTACACTTAATGCTCCTCAGCCTTCTGTCTGAAGGGAGCGAGGCGAAAATTTGTGTGTGCTGGGTGAGTGGGGTCCTTCATGATGCAGGTGGCTCTCGTCCTGCATCTGGAGGTGAAGATGTCTGTGATGGTGGTGAGACTGACTCCAACATCTTCTGTGCAACCTTCACCACTTTCTGCAAAGCTTTTCTATCTGCAGCTGTGCAGTCTCCATGCCACACGTTGATGCTGGAGCACAGGATGCTCTCCACTGCACACCTGTAGGAGGTGAGGACTGAGGCCATATTTACACGGGCACGATGGGGGGAAACATAGGTTTTTTCGTATGTTAATTAGAGGAAAAGATTTGCGTTGACACGGACGCATTTTGTGTTTACATGCATCCGGAGGAATCTCCCCCGCCCCACTGAATTCGCTGTAGTTACCATGCCGAGTCATTAGACGGCGCTGTGAATTTTGTACCTTCACCTAATGCGCATGCATGCTGTCTCCGCACGCTCCTTTCCTCCGGGCTAAAAGTTCACTTTACTCCGTGATAATCAGTAGCTGTTTTACTGCAGGTAAATCAACGTTCTTAATAATGTTTGCTTGAGTTTACTGTGGTCACACAACAACCAACTTATTTTTTATTTTTCCTGAAAGAAGAAGAAGCTGTCCTTCCACCAGGCGAACCGGTTCTAAACGAGGCTCGGCCCAGGTGCAGTGCAGGAGGACGTAGAAGAGAGATATGTTGGATGAACTATTTATTTAAAATTCCCCTCAGTACTTTTATTCAATCCATGTAATATTTTAAGCTGCATTAATCAAAGGAGTGACAGCCTGAACGAGCCAGATGGACAACGTGGGACCAGATTCCAGGATGAAAACAAGAGTTCATTAATGTAGTTTACAGTTCAGTTAACTTGTTTTTAATAGTGTGTTCAGTTTAATTATCAGCGTTTGTGTGACATAGTGTGTGGTGTTGAATAAATAAATAAAAATTAAACCTGATGTCTTCATTTTCAACTTTAGTAACACGCAATATGTTTAGCATCATTTTAAATTTGTCAGAAACAATGAAATACTAAATCAGATCTGATGACCTTGTGTTAAATAGGAATAATAACAAAAGCATAAACAGAATCAGCATCAATGAAAAACTAGATCTAAAGCCGATCACCCTGTGTTATATGTCATCTTCTACCAGTATACCCACTGTCCCTCCTCTGGACATGTACAAACCATCTCAGTATGGTCTCTCTAACTTTATCTCCCAGTTGTTCAACGTGTGCTGTACCTCTGATGATCTCATTCCTAATCTTATCCAGCCTTGTCACTCAAGGAGAACCTCAACATCTTCATTTCTGCCACTTCCAGTTCTTTCTCCTGTCTTTTTGTCAGTGCCACTGTCTCCAGATTAACAATATAGCTGGTCTCACCACTGTCTTGTAAACTTTTCCTTTGACCTTTGCTGACACACTTTTTGGTCACAAATCGCTCCTGAAACTTTTCTCCATCCACTCCATCCTGCCTGGACTCTTT